CCCCAAAACCCCAAAACCCCGTCATTGTTTTAATGATGAATATTTGAAGAAATCAAAATAAATACTTTAAATCACACTGGTATGATATCTTGAATTTGATGAATAACTTTATCATCTATAGGGTCAAGTCCATTAATATCTGTATCAAATCCATATTTAAACCATAGCATTTCAATAAAAATTCTTAATCTTTAGTGCTAAATTTTGTAGTGTTCAGCATACCATTTTTAGGGTTGGAGAATTCCATTTTTTCGTCTTTTTTCTATATCATTAAATATATCCACAATGTCATCTGCATTTTCGATAAAGGATCCTGTTTATTCATTGACGTACTTCCAACCTCCAGCTATGTATTTGTTTACAATGACTGGAGTATTCAAAGCTAGGGCTTGAGTAATGATTCTAGGAGATGCATCTGACATACTTGGAACTAATAGCACTTTTGAATTAGCAATTTTTTCGAAGAATTCTGGGGATGATAGCATAGGAACTCTATCAATTTTTCCCTCAAGACTAGGAGGCGGTAATCTTCCAACTAAAAGAATTTTATAATCTCCTTAACTTAGTAATTTTTCCATTATCTACACACCAAGAGTCCAATTCTTCATTTCTCCTTGCCATTCTGAATTGCACAGTACTGATAGCATAAAATCATATTTTTTCACATCATATCTAATTTTGTAGTTTTTAAGGTAATTGTTAACATGAGTAAACTAGATGTCCGATTCAGCAAATAACAGCTTGGGGTTCACAATATGAGCTAAATCAACTCTAGGGTTTCTTGCATTGTGCAAGCACCCTGCAAAATTTTTCATGAAATCAATGAACCTCCTATCCATTGCTTTGATCGTACCATCAGTATCATATTCCCATTGAACAAAAACTGGAAAACTTCTGAAAGATGAAATAGTAAGAGTCATAAAACCTCTTTTCATTAGAGTTCTTGTCCTATTTTTAGAGGCCTCCCATTAAGGTTAAGCAAGCATCATTACCTTCAAAGGCTTTTTTGTTTCTCTGTCGATTATCCAGAAGTATGGAGATCCAAAATTTTCACCATTCCAATCATCAATAGTACTCAGAGAATATCCTTTATGATTCTTGTGCTAATCTTCTTTCAAGTATAAATCAATCACTTTATCCCAGTCCTCTATCTCATATAGAAACCACTCCATTAGTAATTTAGGATTCCTGTCTCTGTTTTCACAATGCCTTAAGTGGTAATTCTTAATAAGATTTTCTCCCTTTAGCCTTGGATCTTACTTGATAAATTGTTCGTATAGCTTTGAATTTTTCATTAAAAAATCTTTATAGCCTCTTACAGTCTTTGGTTCATAGACATAAATAAAGCTATGGCCAAAAGCTTTACCATAGAACCTTACATAGTTAGCATTAAATCTCCAAATGCCTTAAAACATTGAGGATGTCATGTCAGTTAAAGCAACTATTACTCCACTGTTATTAAGATGAGCTGCCATTATTTCAAAGAACTAGATACTCTACTATGATTCTCTGTCATCTACAGAGTAGACTAATACAAGATGATCATTGAATTTTGATGGCTAAACATATTCAAGTAATTCATTCTTGTATTCTTACATTTGTGTTCCTAGTTTGTAATAATGCTTAACGATCTTGCTTTTGTAAATCCATTAAATAAAGTCAATACAAAGCTAGCTGATTGAGTTTTCATTCAATAGCCTAATATGCTTTGTAAATGTAAATTTAGTATCTTTTATGTCCATATATTTAGCTAATAATTTATTCAACCCCTTATCATTTTTAGTTTCTCCAAAATACAGTTTCAAATCAATTTTATAATGCAATAACGCTTCTTTTATTGGTAGTAATAGTAGACTTAGTTCATTATGAGTATAGTGTTGTTTACTATAGTATAAAACCAGGTTATCTCTTCCAAAATTCTGAATTGAGATAGATTTTTAATCAAATATGTAGCTGTTGAGATTTTCACTTTACATACATTGGTCTTCCTTATACTTAATTTTAAGCAGTTCATCTTAGTAGATTAAATCAAGCCAATTAAAGCCATTCTATCCAGGCCATTAGTGATTCAATCCTACCATTATGATATTTATATTAGCCATATTTGGATCATATGTGACAAGAGAACTTAGAATTGAGCAAGATAGTGTAAGCAATTATACAAAATCAAATAGCATTTTAGATTTTATTAATTTTGCTTATTCATTAATTTAATAGAACCACTCTAATGTTATCTTAAGGGGTTTTGGGGTTTTGGGGTTTTGGGG